GAAGGAAGGTGACCTGCTGAGAAAAGGAGTCTCTGCATAGAAACGCCGAGCCCCTTGGGCTATCTGGACATGGAGAGACTTCGACCTAACACAGCAGGGGTCCCCAACACCAGGGCAGGTAGGATTGTGACCTCTAGGCCTCATTCTCAAGGCAGGGTCACATGTAGCCCAGGCTGGCCTCAAACTCTCAAGCTCTGGCAGGAACTTCTCTGTCAGCTTTCCATTACCATAGCACAATGCAATCCTCCTGCCTCTTTTCACTTTCTTAAGAATGTCTTTCATTGGGACTGGAGAGATGACTCAGGGAGCACTGGCTGTTCTTGCTGAGGACCCGGGTTTGGTTCCCAGCACCCACCTAGTGGCAAACAACCATTCATAACACCAGTTCCAGGGGATCTGACACCCTCCTAACCTTTGTCAGCATTGCACAACATAGGTGCACTTAACATACATGCAGGCAAAACACTCATGCACATAAAATAAAAATAATAAAATGGTTTAAAAATTAGATTTCCCTTTTTTGTTCTGTGCACATTCTGCATAAAAATTCTTTGGTGTGTGTATGTTTGAGGGGAGCTCAAGACAAGGTCAATGTAGCCCAGGCTGGGCCTGACTTCAAGGCAGCCATTCTGTGTCAGCATCCTAAAGGAGGGGCTCACAGGTGTGCATCACCACAAACAGCTTCCATTGTGACATTCTCATACATAAATCATTAAACTTTGTTCTTATTTGAGCCTCCCACTTTCCTCCTTTGGTGTGTGTATGTTTGAGGGGAGCTCAAGACAAGGTCAATGTAGCCCAGGCTGGGCCTGACTTCAAGGCAGCCATTCTGTGTCAGCATCCTAAAGGAGGGGCTCACAGGTGTGCATCACCACAAACAGCTTCCATTGTGACATTCTCATACATAAATCATTAAACTTTGTTCTTATTTGAGCCTCCCACTTTCCTCCCTGGTGCTCTTTCTTTTTTACTGTTTTGCTTCCTCCTCCCAAACAGCCCTGCATGTTTCTACATCTTATACTGCATTACTCTCTTGTTCTCTCCCTGGTCCCTTAAACATTCCCCCAGTCTCCCTTCCACTTTCAGTTCATATGTTTATAGTCTACATATAAGAGAAAACATGCATTAGCTGCTTTTCCTATTGCTGTGATTTTTTTAAAAAAAGATTTAAAAAAAAACTTGACAAAAGTAACCCAAGAAAGGATGGGTTTATCCAGGGTATGGTCCATGGGAAGTCATGGCAGCAGGAGTGTGAGGCAGCTGGTCACATGACATTCACAGTCAGGAGGTAGCAGGAGGTAGAGAGTGATGAATGCTGGTGCTCAGCTTGCCTTCTCCTTTCCATTCAGTTCAGGACCCCAAACCATGGAATGGTGTTAAGGTGGATCTTCCCACCCTAACCAAGTCAGTTCCTCACAGGCATGACCAAAGGCTAATCTAATCTAATCTAGATAATCTCTCACAGGCATGCCCAGAGGTTTATCTCAGAGGTGATTTTAGATTTTGTCAAATTAACATTAACCATTACAATGCTATCCTCTGTCAACCTGACACCCAAACACATCACTTTTAAGGCATAACTTTTATCCCCATAGGCTTATGGCCATTTCATAATATAAAATGCAATCATTCAGCCCAACTTCAAGAGTCCTCATGTGTTTAACAACATCAACACTGTTTAAAAGTCCAAGTCTCATCTGAGACTCAAGGCAATCTCTTAACTGTGAGCTGTAAAATCAAAAACAAGCCATAACGCATTCAGTAAACAATGACACTGAACCAACATTCTCATTCCAAAAGGGGAAAACAGGGACAAAGAAAGGAATGGTCAGACCAAAGCAAGACTGAAACCCAGCAGGGCAAACACCAAGTCCTGCAGCTCCATGTCTGGCACTTGGAGGTCATGAAGGAATCACTCTTGGAGCTCCACCACCCACAGCACAGTCTCTTTTTGGGGGCACCTCCACCCAGGTCCACTGCTTTCTTCAGCAGATATCCAAAGGTTTGGGCATCTCCAGCATCAATTTCATGTGTCTTCACAGCTTCACACAATGGTCTCCAGGCATTCTTTGCAGGGACTCAGCCCCTGCCACATGTTGTCTTATGTCAGCAGTTCTCTGGAACCAAGTCATAAGCCTCATGACTCCTTTAATCCTGCATCTTTCATGCCTGCAAAACAAATACCATATGGATGCTGCTGCTATGTTCTGCTACAAGCTCAGCAGGATGGCGCCTGGCTCCCTTGGACCACTGTTGAATCTGCTTGTTTGTGTGGATCCTGGGGAGACAGTTCCCCAGGGAACTCCTTCAGTGGCATTCTCAATTTAGGCTCCCCTTTCTAATGAATTTGCATTTTCACAAGATGGAAACTTCAGTGGGTGGGATCTTGCCCTCCAGACACTTTTCTTTGTCCAATTGCAAAGCTTCAGGTTTCTCTTCAATGGTTTTTATCTCTTACAGAGATATAAGATGCTGTCATCTGCATTCCCCTTAACTGAAACTTTTTAAACTTCCTTACATAACTTTCCTCACTAAATTTTACATTTTTCTTATCTTTCTGCTGTTCTTTTTATCCTCTCTCACTGGAGACCTAGATGAGAGTTGTCAGCAATAACCATAACAGAGCTTGAAAGTCTTGAAACTTCCTTTGATAAACAAATTAGTTCATTATCACCCTCATTTAAGTTCTCAGGACATGGATAGAATGCAGCCAGATTCTATGCTAGAATATTTGTCCTGACAGTGTCCTTACAATCTCTGAAACCTCATGAGCTAGGTAAGATCCCTCTGTGGGTGTTTCTCAGTATTGTTTTCCAAGTTCCTACTTTCTAGCCCAAAGTTCCAAACTCTTCCACATTCTTCCTGCAAAACATTACCAAACGGCCAAAGGATCATATGATGAGGTTTATCACAGCAACAGCACCACTTCTCAGTACCAATTTTCTATATTTGTTACTTTCTTTATTGCTGTGATAAAATACCTGGAAAAAGTAACTCAAGGAAGGGAGGGTTTATGTCAGCTCACATTTGAGGGTACAGTCCATCACAGCTGGGAAGCACAGCAGCAGGATCTTGAAGAAGCTGGTCACATGATATCCATAATCAGGAGTCAGGAGTGATGAATGCTGGTGCTCAGCTTGCCTTCTCCTTTTTATTCAGTTCAGGATCCCGGCCCATGAAACAGTGCCACCCACAGTTAAGGTGGGTTTTCCCATCTCAATTAATCTAATCTAGTCATACCTCACAGATATGGCCAGAGGCCAACCAGAGACATGACTCCTAGATGATTCTAGATCCTGTCAAAGCTGACATTAAACATCACAATTTACAGTATCTATCTTTCTGAATCTGGTTTATTTCACTAAATATGATGATCTCTAGGTCCCATCAATTTTCTAGCAAATGACATAATTTCATCTTTAAAAAATATTTTACTTATTTTTATTTTATGTGAATGAGTGTATTGCCTGCATGTATATAAGTGCACCTGTGTCATACAATGCCCAGAAGAGAGCGATGGATTCCCCTGGAACTAGAGTTACAGACAGTTGTTAGCTGCATGTGAGTGCTGGAAATCAAACCAGGGTCCTCTGCAAGAGCACTCAATCCTCTTAACCACTGAGCCCCATAATTTCATTTTTTTATAGTTGAATAAAATTCCATCGTGTGTGTGCGTGTGTGTGTGTATGTGCGCCTTTATCCATTCATCTGCTGATGAGCATCTAGACTAGTTATAGAACTCTGGTGTTATACATCTTAAATTCCGCAATTAGGCAGTGTTAGTCCTCCATGTTTTTCTTCTCTAGTGCTCCATCTATCTCTATTATTACTACTATTATTAGTCCTCAAGAAAACAGAACATAGCTCATCAATCATTTTTGTATATTATAAAAAGGAGAAACTATTAGCCAAATGATTACTCTTCAGCAATTTCCCTGCAAGATCATGTTGGTGTTCTACTTTAACACGTGTATCTGCTGTCTTACAGACTCCTACTGTTGCTCTGCAGTGCATCATTAAACGTTAGGTTTGGGAACTGCTGTGCTATAAAACATCAGCAAAAGTTAACCTTTGTGAAGGATGAGTAATAGTCAATGATAAAACTATAAAGCAGATTTTCTCAAATGTCTTTATTTTTATAACCTATATAGCATCAACTTAATAAAAAATGTTACCACAGGCTATATTTACTTATACAGCAAAAGAAGTAAATGCAAAATACAATTAATTAGAGGCTACCCAAAATTCACAATTTTGAAGGTGGAATGCGTATGCTTTTTTTTCAAATAAACAAGATTCTGTTTCAGATGGACTTTTCTCTTAAACATCAATGTACATCTTTTGAAATAGAACTAGAAAACCTCTCAACAACCTCACAAACAAGTCTTCTACCTAACGTTAAAACTAAAATGCCCACCTACAAACCACTGAAAGACGGATACTGTCACAAAACATAAAAAATTTAAGATTGTTGTATAAAATATCTACCCTTTAAAAATGCAATATAACTGAGTTCTCAAGAGGAATCAGCTCTTTTACAGAACATAGCTGAGTTTTTCCTGGCTGGCTTTCTGTGATCAAGTCTACCCTGTTCAGGTTATTTCACAATACATTTTAATCCTGAAAGAGTGCAGAGGTGCTCAAATATGAAATGCTTCTTTGGCCCTCAGGACAGAGGTTCCTGACAGGCAAACTCCTGCAATGGGAGCATCTAGAGGTGAGCGCTTACTTCTTATATTGAGTTGGAGGAGGATGTCCTTGTTTCTCAAAGGTATGGTAATTTCCTTTCCAGTAATAACAGATTTTTTGATTTGCTTTCAAATGCCTTAAAAATAAAAATTCATGCATATTACTATAAAGAATAGCTTTCCTCCCCAAATTAGACAAAAACATCATACTATGCCACAGGTTTTATTAATGGTAAATGTTTGTGTTTATTTTAAAAAGCTTAGTTCTTACTACGCATCTTTGTTTAACAAGTAAGAATCATTTGCCACACAGAAGCAAGACTTTAAATTTATTCCAACATTGAAAACTAAAAACAACTGGAAAAAATACAAAGCAAAACACTTCTGCATGACACTGCTTTTTATCATTTCAATATACTGTATTTAGAATGGCACACATACACTGGAGGAAACAGAAAAATGTAGACTTAGTCTATAAGATTAGCATTAAGAATGACACACAATTCATGATCTCGTTTAAATGAATTCTTAACTGAAGCACTTAAATAAAGGGTTTGGTTTTGTTTTCACTGGAGGGGACGACAACCTGTGTTTCCCAAACTGGTCCTCCTTTTGTACTAAAAAGAGCCCACTCCTCTTCCCAGCAGCTACTTTTGGTGACTCTGCATAACAACAACATAGAATCACTTTTCTGGTAACAGTGCCATGGCCTTGAATAACCAATTTTAAAAACAACAACAACAACAACAACAAAAAAAACCAAATATCAAGTGCAAATCTAGAAATTTCCCTCAGAGAATGATGTGAACCCCTGCATAGGCAGCATCGCAATCACATGAGCTCAGGCAGGACTCAGGAATGTGCACACAGGGACAGCACACTGCCGATCGATCACCTTCTATAAAATGTTGACGGTGTCACCAGGTTAATAATTCTTTCAAGGCACTGAAGAATTATGTGGATGGAGTTTCTAAAATATATTTAGAATTGCTTAAACTGTTAAAAAGCCCTGAGTCAGAACTTTCAATAGCTTCCTAAAATTACACACTTCAGACAAAATGGCACATTTGCTTATTTTATAAAAAATTAGAAGACCATTTTGCTTTTTTGGAGGAGAGAAGTCATAAGACTAAACAGGACAATTCAAATACTCAGCATTATTATTCTTCTTAGACATTCTGTACACATCAATTCCAGCTTTTAGGTTCAGGTTACTTTTCTTGTATCTATTGCTTAAATTCTCAAAAAAAAAAAATCTCAATTTTAACTTCAGGTTCCCAATTCCTTTTCACTCACAAATAAGACAAAATGTTGCAAGAAAAAAGAAAAAAAAAAAAGCAATACTCAGATAGAAAAGGAGGTAGAAAATACCAAATATCAACTTAACCAGTTCAATTCATCAACTATCCAGTTCCTCTTTCTATACTGTAGTTTTACCCACTGCTAATCATTTATCAGTACAAGCTCAAGCTAGAGGATTTCCCTCTCACTGTAGTAAAGCAACATACACATGAGACATTAAACAGCTTCCTCAAATTTAATATTTTAAAGGCATACAACTGTAATTATTAATACTGCTATAGCTGTATATATGTTAAAGTTCCAAGGATATACATGATTATCAAGTAATACCAGTAAGCATTCCTATTGTAGTATTCAAGCAACTTAAATTGGGTTGTCATTTTGAAAGAAAAATGTATTCTGAAACCTATGACAGGTAGACTTAAAGACAACTGATATTTTTAACAAGGCACAAATAACTTGTGAAAATCTATTACCTTCGTAATTTAGTACAAATTCAAAGTTAATTTATTTCTGATATCTAAAATGTGTTTCTCCTCTATGGCTCAAAATGAAATAATAAACTCTTTCAATTAACATACATGTAAAACTCATTACTATTAACAATTATGGAAGGGAGAGAGATGTCCTCCTTGCAGATTTCAGGAACTTGATGTTTACTGTAACTGTAGATATTGCAAACACAAATGAACTACTAAGTAATTCAGGTGTTTGATTTATAAATGGTTAAAGTTCTACTCCACAGGAGAAAGAAGGAAAAAGGAGTCATTTAATGGTTATGGCATTTCAGTTGTGCAAGATACAGCTCTAGAGGTCTGTTTCCCAACAACACGAGTGTAAGCAGCACTACTGAATGGTGTACATGTAGAAACGGTTACAGTGGCAAGCCTTATGATAGACAGTTTTCACCGCAACTAAAAATGCAAAAAAATCTATCCCATGAGTCCATTTTACACAAATTATTACTACAGAACATCTCAGACACTCTGAGAGAATAAGTGCTTTCCTTTTGGAACTTAAACAAACCAAAAAAGAAAAAAAAGCTGTACTAAAATCTGCAATGTACAAAAAACTAACTGCCAAACCATACTAAAAATTAACAGGCCCTTTTTATTTTTTAATTAAATATACTCTCCCAACTAACGCTGTTGGAAATGATCCACTTTCCTCTTATTTGCTTTTCTGTTTCCTATTTGTTGCAACCCCAATGTCCTGACCTGACTACCCAATTCATCGTTGTCTTAGTTCACAAGTTTAACTATTCCTAGTCCAAAAAGTGTCCACAATTCAGAATTAAAGAAGAACAGCAACTAGGCAACACATACACAACACAGGGTGTTTCTGGTGTGTAAAAGTGACCCAGCAAGCTTTTAAATTTGAAGCATGCATTTCGATATTCTAAAATGTTCTTACGGGCTAAAATCATCAAAAAATATAAATTTAAGAAAATTACTTCCAACATTATCTATCAATTAATCTTATGCTTCAGTCGACTGTTGGTTAATCTGCCATGTTTAAAATTACAAATACCTTAATCAAGCATAATTTAGCAACTAAATACTTACCTAGCATAATATTCTTATACTATATAAAATTATCTTCTTTTGAAAACCTTGCTCCCAACAAAATTATATATATATAGTATAAGTAAAAATGTTAAACTATGTGAACAAGTACAATTAGGATAGCACCGTCTGGTGAGTTGCCTGTGTCTGGAATAAGAAAGCTGATGATCATAGAAGAATAAAGGAGAAGATGTAGGGCAAGGGAGTACAGAGAAAGGGAATCCAAATACTACTCACCGACAGCTCTCCTGAAACCCTAATAGGAATGCTAACAGTGTCTTTGGATCCCCTTCTTTAGTCAACAGATGACTTTTTATTTTATTTTATTAATTTTATTTTATTTTATTTTATTTTGGTCTTTTTGAGACAAGGCCTCCCTGTAGCCCCAGCTGGCCTGGAACTCACTATGTAGACCAGGCTGGCCTTGAACTGACAGAGATCTGCCTGCCTCTGCCTCCTGGGTGCTGGGGTTAAAAGCGTGAGCCACCACACCCAGCAACAGATGACTTTATATACAACTGCTCACAAATTCTGAGTGCACTAAGAGGCTGATCTTTTTTTCTTTTTTTTCTATCTAGCTTCTGAAGCCCAATATACAATTTTTTTTAAATGAATGCATGTCATTGTAAAAATAATTTTAGGAAAAGTAAGAACTCTTTAGAGGCACAGGAAAGAGGTTTAGATAATGAGGAAACATACTAATTGGCAAAGCACTGCTAAGAGATATATAATAAGAGGTAGCAGTTTCAGAGTTGGAGGAAAGTCACTTACATGATTAAGTTCTTAATCGCACTGTCTCCCACAAACCCAAAACAAATTTAAAATAATTTTAGGTGCTTAAAGACATGAATAGAAGAATATCTATTCATAAAACAAACTTCAAAAATACAAACAGAGAAAACCCACAAGTACTCAGCACTACAATTACAAAGACTTTATGACTTCTATCATAGAAATTAATGTTATATTTTTAATATGGAAGAAATAATGAAACTAGTCTGGAAGGTGCTATTACCTTATAGGGGTATAAGTTTTAGCACTGCAGGTCAGAAGATAAAAAGGACTGAGGTGAAATGCATCTGTAGCCACAGGCTCTCGGACTGGCAGGCTGCGGATCAGCAAGCACCTTCCTTGCCTGCTGCTGTAGTAGAAAGAGATGGGTGGCCTATGGCATGGAGAAAAAGAAAATCCTCACTTCTGCTATTTCCAAATCTGCAAGAGTTTGTCTCTTTGTGTAAACATCGTATCAGTGGATGCATCTTTCTGTAACCTCAAAATATACTTTGAAAATGGCCTTGTGAGTTCTTTACTAGATAATTAGTCACAAAAAATTTCTAATTTGAAATTTACAAAAATTGTATCATCCAAAATGATTAATAAATGTTGGATGTGATGACTCGTGTCTCTCATCCCACACTCGGAAGGCAGAAGCAGGAGGATCCTAAGTTTGAGGCAAGCCTGAGCTGTACAGTAAATTCCAGGCCAGCTTGTAATATATAGTGAGACTGTCTCAAAAAACCAAAAGGAAGAAAAAAAAACTGATACCAGTTACTCAGCTAAACACAGATACAGAATGACTACAAACACAGCCCCATGGCTCACCACCACTTTCATGAAGCCTGCCAAAGGAAGCAGCAATTACACAGCCAGCAAAACCATACTATGACAGCTGGACACTGAATTTGCACCTTTGTTACTACAGCAGAGAAACAGAGTAAGAAAAGCTAGCCAGGGTCAAAGGTGGAAACGGAAAAAAAAAAAAAAAAAAAAAAAAAAAAAAAAAGAGAGAAAGCTTATACACAGTATATAGTAGTAGACACTATTGTAAACTGTAAACAGCTGATATTTTTTATAGTCTAGCAGCAAGGAACCTTAAACCACTTATGTGTATATTTACCCTAGATAAAAAGATTATTCATTCAAAGGAGATAAAATGCTTAGATCCTCTACAGGCAAAGTGTACCCCTCTCCCAATTTTACAAGTAATCACATGCATTTCCACAATGTCCTGGCACTCTTTCTAAATAAGTACGCTATTAAGTTTTTTTACTATAGCTTGGCTATTGTTGGTAGTTTAAATAATATCTCCATCTGTAGGTAGAAAAACTGTATTCTTTACAGTAAGAATTACTGAGAGAATGGAAGGTCTTTGATGAAGGTGGAATTCGTAACACTGTCAGAAGTAACAGACACACAGAAGATTGTTGCCTCTAACAATGCATCACCCTTGCTGAACAGACCTTAGTGGCACAAATAACACAGTGTCAATCCACTGATTACATCGAGACTGGGTCTGCCTCACTGGGAAAACGGAAATGCGCTTTTCAGAGACCTTTTTCTATAAGCTAGTTGATCTAAACAGTGCACACCTAATACAGGAATCGCCACTGCTGAGGGTCGGTTAGTCGGCACTCTTGCACTGCTCCATGCCTGCCTTCAGGGCTGCATTATGATTTAGCTTTCCTTTTCCGTGTGAAAACTGGTCATTTGACTTAAGTCAAACAATTTTCCTTTTAAATCTACAAAACAAACTAAATGTAAAGTCATTATCTCCTTTTAAATCTATAAAATAAGCTAAATGTAGTCATTAT